AAAATTTTAAATTTTAATTTTCCAATTTTTTGCTTAGTAAGCATAAAAAATGGAAACAACGGTTTGATAACAAAGCATGTCATTTGAATTTTATAGAAAGAAAAAAGATTTGCTCAAACATAGAGCTGATATAGCGACTGAAGTTAGAAAAAACATTTTTCCCAAAAAATGAAAATCTTCTCTGATAAAAAGCAGGTGGCAGGGAAAACAAAACATTATATTTTCAGTTGTAATGCACTACATAAGTCAATGCTTTGAATTTAACGTGAAGGATTTGTATTTTGAGCGTGGACGATGTTATCGACAAAATTTAACTTCAAGTAAAAGTTTTTGGATTTTCACTCAATTTTAAATTTTTAGTTTTCTTTGTCGTTTAAAAAGTTAAGCATAAAAGTTAATTCGTGCAAAGTTTTATTTTTTTTCACTTTTTATGCTTTTTAAGCAATGATAATTGACAATGCGGTTTGTTTAAAAAAAGTGCTAGTCATACGAATTTCTTTAACGAAAAAAAGGTTGGCAGAAACATGGAGCTGACATAGCGACTAAAGTGTGAGATAAATTTTTTCCCTAGTAATGAAAACTTGGTCTGATAACATGCTAGTAGCAAGGAAAACAAAACGTTTTATTCTCAGTTAAAAGACACCATGTAAATCAAGGCTTTGAGTTTACCGCATTGAAGGATTGGTATCTTGTGCGTGGACGATGTTATCAACAAAATTTAACAAAATCAACACTTTTTAACCTAAGGTAAAAGTATTTGGATTTTCACTCAATTTTAATTTCTTCATTTTCTTTGTCATTTAAAAAGTGTTAAACACAAAATTTTGTTATCAAAATTTTTCAATTATCTTTTTTTTCCAATTTTTTTGCGTATTAGGAAAAAAGAACTGAAAAAACGACTTAATAAGAAAAGCTAGTCAAACGAATTTTATAGAAAGAAAGAAAAGTTTGCTTAAACAAAGAGCTGATATAGCGACTGAAGTGAGAAATAACGTTTTTCCAAAAAAAAATAAAACTTTCTCTGATAAAAAGCTGGTAGCAAAGAAAATGAAACTTTTTTTTTCAGTTGTAAATCACTACAAAAATCAGCGCTTTAAATTTAACGTTTCGTATGCTGTGCATGGACGATGTTATCAACAAATTTTAACCACAAATAAAAGTTTTTGGACTTTCACTCACTTTTAAACTTTTAGTTTTCTTCGTCAATTAAAAATTGTTTAGCATAAAATTTAATTCTTCTAAAAATTTAAACTTCTTTTCCACTTTTTTTGCGTTGTAAGCAAAAGTAATTGAATGTACGTTTTGATAAAAAACTATAGTCATACGAATTTCATTGAAAAAAAAACAGGTTTGCAGAAGCATAGAGCTGATATAACGACTGAATAAGAGAGGTGATTTTTTCCCCAACAATGAAACTTTTCTCTAATAAAAGGCTGGCAGCACGGAAAAAAAAACGTTTTAGTTTCAATGGTACCACACTACGTAAAGCAATGCAATGAGTTTACCGCATTGAATGTTTTCTATATTGTGCGTAGACGATGTTATCAACAAATTTTAACATCAAGTAAAATTTTGGATTTTCATTCACTTTTAAAGTTTGGTTCTCTTGGTCATTTAAAAATTGTTTAGCTTAAAACTTAATGATCATAGTATTATAAGTTTTTTTTTCATTTTTTTGCGTAAAAAGCAAAAATAATTGAAAAAAAGGTTTGATAAAAAATGCTAATCAAATGCATTTCTTAAAAACAGAAAAAAATTTGATTAAACACAGAGCTGATATAGCGACTGAAGTAAGAAATAATTTTTCTCCAATAATCAAAGTTTTCTCTGATAAAATGCTGGTACCAAGGAAAACAAAACGTTTACTTTTCAGTTAAAACACAATACATAAGCCAATGCTTTAAGTTTACCGCATTGAAAGTTTCGTATGTTGTGCGCGTGGACGATGTTTTGAACATTATTTAACCTCAAGTGAAATTTTTTGCTTTTTCACTCAGTTTTAAAATTATGATTCTGTTGTCGTTTAAAAAGTGTTGTGCATAAAATTTACTTATCATAATGTTCTGATTTTCTTTTTTTCCAGTTTTTTTGCGTGGTAAACAAGAATAACTGAGAAAACCACTTGATAAAAAATGCTAGTCGTACGAATTTCATAGAAAAAAAAAGGTATACTTTAACATAGAGCTGATATAGCAATTGGAGTGAGAGATAAATTTTCCCCAATAATGTATACTTTTTCTGATAAAATGCTGGTGGCAAGGAAAAAAAACGTTTCATTTTCAGTTGTAACACACTAAAAAATCAGTGCTTTAAAATTAATGCATTGAAAGTTTTGTATGATGCGCATGGATGAAGTTATCAACAAAATTTAAACACAAGTGAAAATTTTTGGACTTTTACTGGATTTCAAATTTTAGTTTACTTTGTCATTTAAAAGTTGTTTAGAATGAAATTTAATTCTTATAATCTATTAATTTTTATTTTTCCACTTTTTTGCGTTGTAAGCAAAACTAATTGAATGTACGGTGTGATAAAAGACGCTAGTCATACGAACTTCTTTGAAAAAAAAACAGGTTTGCTTAAACATAGAGCTGATATAGCGACTCAAGTAAGAGATAACTTTTTCCCCAATAATGAAATTTTTCTCTGATAAAAGGCTGGCAGCATAAAAATTAGTTTTTAGAGTATTAGAAATTTTGTCAGTTTTTTTTGCGTAAAAAGCAAAAACAGCTGAAAATACGGCTTGATGAAAAACGCTAGTCATACGAATTTCGTAGAAAGAAAAAAAGGTTTGCTTAACATAGAGCTGATTTAGCGACTGAAGTGAGAGATAATTTTTTCCGCTATAATGATTTTTTTCTCTGATAAAAAGCTGGTAGCAAGGAAAAGAAATGTTTTATGTTCAGTTGGAGCACACTACGTAAAACAATGCTTTGAATGAATATAACGCAATGAAGGTTGAGTATGTTGTGCGTGGACGACGTTTTGAACATGAGTTATTCTCCAGTAATTTTTTTTGGATATTCAGTCAAGTTTAAACTTTTATTTTCTTTGTCTTTTAAAAAGTGTTTAGCATGAAATTTAGTTATCATAATATTCTTTTTTTTCCATTTTTTTGGCGTAGTAAGCAAACACAACTGAAAAAACGACTTAATAAAAAATGCTAATCACACGAATTTCATAGAAAGAAAAAAAGGTTTCCCTAAACATAGAGCTGATATAGCGACTGGAGTGAGAGAAATTTTTCCCCAATAATGAAAATTTTCTCTTATAAAATGCTGGTAGCAAGGAAAACAAAACGTTTAATTTTCAGTTAAAACAAACCATGTAAATCAGTGCTTTGAATTTACCGCATTGGGGGTTTTGTATGCTGTGCATGGACGATGCTATCAACAACAATTAATCTCAAGTAAAGTTTTCGGATTTTTACTCATTCTTAAACTTTTCCTTTTCTATGTCATTTTGAAAGTGTTTAGCATAAAATTCTGTTATCATAATATTTTTTTTCATTTTTTTTTGCGTAGAGAGCAAAAATAACTGAGAAAACTTCTTGATAAAAAATGCTAGTCATACGAATTTTATAGAAATAAAAAAAGGTTTGCCTTAGCATGGAGCTGATGTAGCAATTGGGTTCAGAGATAATTTTTTCCCCAATAAGGAAAAATTTCTCTGATAAAATGCTGGTAGCAAGGAAAACAGCGTTTCAATTTCAGTTGTAACATACTACAAAAATCAGTGCTTTAAACTTTGAAGATTTTGTATGCTGTGGATGGACAATGTTATCCACAAAATTTAACCACAAGTAAAAGTTTTTGGATTTCCAATCAATTTTGAACTTTTAGTTATCTTCGTCATTTAAAATTTGTTTAGCATAAAATTTAATTCTTATAATAATTATTTTTTACAATTTTGTTGCGTAGTAGGCAAAAGCAATTGAAAATACGGTTTGATAAAAAAAAGCTAGTCGAACGAATTTCATAGAAAGAAAAAAAGGTTTGCTTAAACATAGAGCTGATATAGCGACTCAAGTAAGAGATAACTTTTTTCTCCAATATTGAAAATTTTCTCTGAAAAAATGCTGATAGTACATTTTTCTTTAACAATATTTGTATAATAAGTTTTCTCCCATATTTGAGAAAATCAAGTTTTTTGAGGAACAAACGGCTTTCCTTCATCAAAAACGGCAATAATTTCTTCTAAAAAAACTTTAAAACAAATTTACATGTTTTGTAAAATTTTGTTTGTATGAAAACAAAGTTTATCATAAAAATTTCTCAATAAATTGTATGATAAGCGTTTTATGGATAAATTCCCTTTATTGAATTGTATGACAAGCATTTTTTTTTGTAAGGAGGTCAACCCGGGATTTTTGTGACAAGCGTTTCAATAACCTCAATACACTAGAGAATTTAGATAAAGGGTGGGTGAGCGGACTCTCTCTACCTTCGACAATTCATCGAAAGTTGTCTATAAACGTAGTTTTTTTGGTTTGTTTTTTTTTCAAACTTTTCTTTAAATATGATGATCTAAAAATTTCCTTGTGAAGTTGCCCCCCTCGTGTAAATCCTATATCCGACCATATCTCCAAGTATGATAGTGTAGACTAGTGTTTTTTTGCGTGGTCAACCAAGGTTACTTCGGGAGTGACTTTTTCTTCTATCAATACGAGGCCAAACTGTGCATTTTGTGCATTGTAAGCGGATTCCGCAACAAGGACGCTCCCTTTAATCTCCTTTGTTATTTTTTTCCTTTGATCGTTCCGACAAAAATTTCACATGTTTAAAGACTTGTCTCTGGAATCCAGGAACATACAGACACAAAATTTTGCTCCTATCCAGTGCACAGTTTGGTCTCGTAATGATTGTATAACGGTTTTCATCGTTTTATGAAACGTATTATAACAAAACCGTTGACTCATTTTGACACAACTCATCGACCAATCCAACTTGTAAAAGGAAATATTTTCTATCGGTGAAGTCTAGAACGAAAAAAAAACTCACCTGAGAAGTTTTGACTTTCTTCGAATCCTGAGAAACTTTCCGATGCAGAACTTTCTGAGGATTTCTTCGATGCAAAAGTGACCTGTTATTTCGCCTACAATTATATCTACTTCTAACTGGGCAATATTTGTCAGAGAACTGGGGTGAAAAATTAGCGCACACTGCTTTATGTCATTGCTAACTTTTTTGAAGTGGATGGCGAGACAATTGGATTGCTGCGGTTTATTATCTTCGCTCTAATTAATCCATAAATTTTGTGGGTACAAATCTATTGATGAAGAATTTTGACGTAAAATTGAATAACTAAGAAGTCCACGAATTAAATGGATCTTAACACGAGTTTAATTCAGTGTACACTTATTCTTACATCCATAAAAAGTAAGAAAACGAGAAGGTCAAAAGAAGAACCAGAAATCTTTATAAGGGTGGGGGTTGTTGAATGTTAGTCGTAAATCAATCTTTTAAGAGAAGTTAAGCTATAAAACACAAAACAAATCATCCGCTGCTTTGAATAATTAATTGAAAACGCCTTAGGGCGCCAGTACTGATACAACAATTTGTACAAGTAAATTTCTTCAAAAAATTTAGTGCGTCCATCACGCTACCTTGTAATTTTAGTTCACAATTTGCTCATGCTTGCAGTACAAAAATTGTTTTTCTTCAAGTAATTCTCGTTGGGGAGGGCATTTTTAAGTTGAAGTATGGAGCTGGGTTATTCGAAAAAAGGGCGATAATGAATAAAATATTATTTCACTCTTGCAATTGGTTGAACATGTTATGGGGAAAGGAAATTTAGGATCAGAGCAAAAATAGCTACAACTTCCTAATCTAATTACCAATAGCGGTTGTACTTCAAAACTATCCGGTAACAACTTGCAATGCACCTTGTTCCGGTTTTCCCCACAGAACGAGACCACTTCTCGCGGGACGATGTTTTCAACAAAACAATTGCTAAAACGCCAAATCAGAGCAACTTTTCCTCCTTTTCAAGATAAAACTGTCGAGCCTTTTTCAACCAATTGATTATGTGTTTTCCTTGAATCTACTTAGTGATTGGCTTCTATTGTTGTAAGCGCCCAAATTTTCAGCCTTGGAGTAATTTATTGAGTGGAAATTTGGCTGATTTTCTTGGCGCGTTATCGAGTCTAATTTACATGTGGGAAAATACGTCGCCGTTGGTGGTGTTTTTCACGTGTGCCATATTTCATTCAAAATGCGGCCTTTTCCCCCTCAAAACAACAAAAGGCCTTTTGGGAGTTTGTCAAAATTGCGACACTTGACCTAAGTAGTATGCCCAGTCAACTACCATGATGCCCTTTGGCTGATGTATACTCAAATGTATTAAGGCATGAACGAACATTGCATCGTAAGCCGAAAGATCTTGTCAGTTATAAGAAGATATAACTAGGAGATCAATAGAGCGCGCTTTAACCGCAAAGTTTTTCGTGCTTAATTGAATGCAGTCGCTTTTTTGCCGATATGTTAATTTTTTAAACAGTTTTTCGAGATATTTTAATCCCGTTGTTACATTAAAAAATTACCTTTAACTTAACTTTCATCTCACAATCTTTCAAAAGTTAATGGCTTCTCCGTTAAGTTTTTGGTTTGATAATAGATTCAATGACTTAGTTGAAAATGGGCGACTGAATCAATTAGCGATTGGTGATGTTTTCAGGAATAAAAAAAGGGTTGTCCAGACAGCTCTACTAAAACACTTTGAATACCCGGTTGAACTGTAATAAATAATCATTGCTGATTCAGCCCCCCAATTCTCTGTGATTCAAATCAAAGATCAAAAGCGGCTCAATTGAACTATCTCCCGCGTAGATCAAAATAGGAGAGAGGTTAATCACTTGTTTCAAAGTATGATTTTTTAGCCTATCAAGTTTGAGTATAGTACACTCAGGCCTCAATTTCAGTAAAAGCCTCAATTTCAGTAACGATGATTAACAATGTATCTTGAATTGAACAAAGACACCGATTTGCTGGACGAATAGCACAGAACATTATGTCTACAAGGAGTCAGGCCAGAGTTTGGGTGAAGCAAAAAATTATGAATTTTAAAAACAGTTCGAAATTTTTCTATTTTTTTCTGCATATCTTGAAAATTTTCAAGCAGCGAAAAAATTTGTCACAAGTTTCCAAAATAAAAAAAAATTGTTTTGAAGAAATTAATTTAGATAATTGTTTGAGATAATTGTATTTTAGACCAACTTCGGCAATCGAAATCATAGTTTTAAGCGAAACTTGTTTATACGCCAATCAGCTTTTCGAATACATTAGTTCAAAATGTTTAACCAGTTTTCCCAAAGTTATGAGTGTTGATACATACATTAAGATTCTAAAACGTATGATGATGCTAAAAACGTAACGCAAGTTGTTTATGCTCGGCGAATTGTACAATAATGAAAAGTTTTCATGTGGTATTGATACATCCTATTTGGTCCTAATATTTTCCTATACGATTTCAAGTTGTTCAAATTATTTGTGAAAAACGCTTAGTTGAAAATAATCAATCAATAAAAAAATCTGACTGAACAAAAAAAACCACCCTAGCGTAAATACTCCTAAGTAGCAGAACAATATTTAAAGGATCAATTTTAAATCGTATAGGAAATTAATAGGACCAAATAGAATATGTTAACCCCACATGAGTAATTTTGATTATGGTACAATTCGCCGCGCATAAATAACTTGCTTCACGTTTTCAGCGTCATATATTCACACAATTTTCAATGCGTTTATCATGGCAAAATTTCTAATTTTCAAACACTCAGAACTTTGTGAAAACTAGCAAAAACACATTGAACTCATGTATTCACAATTTTGATTGGCATATAAACAAGTTTCGTTTGAAACTATAATTTCGATCGGCGAAGTTGGTCTTAAATTTTTTTTCTCAAACTATTAACTTCCGTTAATTTCTTCACAACAATTTTTTTTTATTTTGGAAATTTGTGCAATTTTTTTACTGCTTAACAAAAACATCAAGATATACAGAAAAAAAATGGGAAAACTCGTTGAAATAGGAATTATTTTTAAAAGTAATAACCATTTTGCTTCACCCAAACTCTAGAGTTAATCCTTGTAGACATAACGCTCTTCGCTATTCATCCAGCAAACTGGTGTCTTTGTACAATTCAAGATACAGATGGACATCATCGTTAACCTTGGCTTTCACTGAAACTATTCAGAATTTTTCTAAAAGGCTCAAAAATTTTTATAGTGCTCAAAGATAAGGGCATTCGAATATTAAACCAGATCAAAGCATACATTAACATGCCATAGAAAAAAAACGGAGCTTTCAGTGTATGTGAAGAAAGTTATTAGGCGAAAAGAAAAAAAATCCAAGATTAGTGTATCCAGGACTACGTATGCTTGTTTGTTTGAGTACAAAAACCAAAAAAAAATTTCGGGCAATTTCAAAATTACTTAGAAAAATTTTTGTGCCGCCATCAAAAAAGGCTAGTCGTACAGTTTCCATATATGGGAACTGTATGATAAGAATTTTTTCAAAAACACAAATATCTCCAGACTGTTTTCATTAGAATCAAATAGCCACAAAATTTAGTTTCAAATCTTTTTAAACCATTTTCCGAAATTGTACGAAAATTGTATGGCAAGCATTTTTCCATACAATTGCTGTATGAAATTGTATGATAAGCATTTTCGGTGGATGAATGTCAACCCGATATACACTCCTTTGTTTTTTTTTCTGGAGCAGAAGCAAAATACGTTTGGAAGAACGCATGGCTTGTATTTATATTATTAGATAGACTCAGACATGGAATTAAACCAGATTAAGTTATGTTAAACCAGATTAAGATCCCATTGCTCCGACCGCTGTGTCTGCGGGTGCGATCTAAATTTTTTGTCTATCAAATTTTTTCAAAAAAACTCAGTTACCACAAACAACCATATAATTTATTTGGGTAAACGTCAAAATGAAACCCTTTCAACTTTTTTTCAAACTTTTTCTAGAATTGTTTTCTCGAGTGGAGAAAAATTGTGTATGAAAATTGTGGTTTGTAGCTCATTTTGAGCAAATACAGCTAGCGAGCAACCCTTGCTATGCAAAAGTTTGTAGGTAAGCTTTCAAATAGCGCTTCCCTGGCACTTAAAATAAGAAAAATCTGGAAAAAATATGTAAAACTGTTGAATCATTTTAAAAACTCCACCGATTTTTTGTGTTGCTATTCAATTACGATTTTTTTTGAACTTAAGGCCAATGTTGAGGTTTTAAGCGTCTCTCCTACAATTGGCTTGAAGGAAATTTTTTTTTGCTTTTTTTTTCAACCAAATGTGGACGTTTAGAATTTGTATTGGGAAATCGAATTAAACAAACGCACAATTAAAGAAATTAAACGAATCGAATGCAACGAAGAAACGACAGACTCCGTACAAAATTTTCCCATAAATTTAAAGGTCACGTTGAAACCTTGATAATTTTTGTGATACGGAAAAAAAGCTAAAAAAAGCAACACTTTTTTGAACGGTAAATAGCAAAATACTTGAATAAAAAATTAAAGTGGCATATTAAAAAATCTTTGATATTTTAGAAAAAAACGTTATCTCGGGCTGTTCGTTTGTCTTTTCAGGTCTTTTACTTGGTATTTTAAGTGAGTATATAAGTCATCTTAGAACACGCCATCCGCAAAAAAATCGTTCACAAGAAAAGTTTTTGTCTTCTTGGTGGCATGCCATCTAGTTTTCCACTATCCAAATTCAAGGTACTACCTTAGTTTTGATAGTAGAATAGTAGAAGATAGTAGAATAGTAGAATAGTAGAATATGATACTTTTTGTGGGTCAACGATGGTTTTTGCTGGAATCATACAGCACTAGAATGTACAAACTCCAGTTTATGTCGCTACCATGATAGTCTTTTTGCAACCGAAAAAAAAACTGAACAATTTTTGGATTACTGAAGGTTATGACAAAATTTTAGAAAATCGATCTGAAGCACCGCATATTTACTCAAGCTTAGAAGTTTGCTCAAAAACTGCGAGAGAGTAGTAATAAAAACCTCAATCAAGAATAGCTCTTTGCATATACATTTACTTCAATTTGAGTGGTCTAATCAAAAACTTATTACACGCATAATTCAACAATATATGAGACCAATTTGAACATTTTTGTCTATTGAGCTTAATACGTTGTTCATCATTGATAGCATGAGCTAATATCTGGACTGTGCATAAAACATGTCCAGTAGTGGCTACAGATCCAATCCCTCAACAGGGGGAAATCTGGGCTCCCTGGCGTCCGGGAAGTCCCCCAGATTCGACCCAAATGACCCCAAACAACAGGAAATTGTCCAGAAGCTACAGACAAAGGTAATCAAAGTCACTATAAATGTCTTGAATGCTTGGGTTCTTCTGCCGCCTCCCGTCCTCAACAGATATAAATATCAATTTAACTACCAGTAGCCAGTGATATATATAGTTTTTCGTTTCGGTTGGGCAACAATTCTTCGGAAAGGACAATTGGTCAAAGGAAATTAGGATTAAGACGCAGATAGCTAATTTGGGTCAACTGATTTAGTTTTGCTCAGTAAACAAATGGCTAGACAAGGCAACGGATTTACTATTTAAAAATTCACAAAAATAACTTTTGAATTTTTTTGACGAATTGTTGTTCATTAAAATTCCAACAATAACCATTTCAATTTCCTTTAGTCGTCTTTATTGAAAAATTGGCGCCTTGCCATTCGATACAAATGATCGGTTTTACAAAGACATGTACATTAATCCATTATTGATTGCGCTCCGTATTCTGTCTCGGTACGAAAGTAGTTGGTGCCGCTCGATACTTTGAGTTAAAACATGAAGATATTTTCTGGATTTTAGATGTTGGGCTGATTTTCAAATCTTGCAGCAACTTAGAATGCTGATCTCTTGGGCTGAATATGAACGCATTAGATTAAAAATTGAGCGCAAAAAAAAGAAGCAAGATTTCAAATCATCGTGATAATAACGTTTTGTCTGCTCAAAAATCAACCTTGCAAATTTAGTTTGCAATCAAGCCGAAAATGATTTCTTCAAAAATTTCGAAGATTTTTACCGTATAAATATGCTAATAGAATTATGAATCCTTGCTCCAATTTTTTGAAAAAAAATGGAAAATTTATGCTCGGTGTTGTTATTACTTCAAGACAATTTCTGGCTTCTTTTTGACGTTTTATAGTTTGATCATTTCAGACACATTGATAACCAAGCACAAAACAATTTTTGCCAAAGAAAAAATTTTGTAACGTTTTGAGAGTTCAAAACTCGCCAATTTGACCAATTGAGTGTTTTCAATTAGCCTGAAAATACATTTTCATTTATGCATAGCTTAAACGACAAACTAATCTTGCTCATAAGTTTTCCATGCGAATTACGAGAAGCTTATTGATTCAAATAGTACATCATTAGGCGTAAGGTGTAATACTGTGTAACATAATGCGTGACAACGGGAAAACTTACTTTTCAAAAACTACATCAGACACACCTTAAAAGACTGTTTTTCTAAAAATTTAATGAAGACCATTTAATGATTATGGACTTTCAAAAGTTTCACTATAAAAGCAATCCGTTGTAGTATTTCATACTTCTGTTTCAATATAATTGGAACTGAATTTTTTGTAGGAACTGCAGCAGCTTAGATATATTCCGGAAAAAAATGAAAATTATGTTTTTTACTCAGAAACATTAAACAACAGACGAACCGAAATAACAAGTTTGCTGAGCTGATGAATAGAAACAATCTATAAACGTAAGCCCCATTTTATATTGAACATTTAGTATTTTGACAAACACTCAAGCGATGTTTTTGTTCCGACTTTCGATACGAAAGTAACGGAATATTTGTGGGTTTTTCGGGGTGGGTTTTTTTTCTTCAGACAAATTTCGACTTTTTAACTAGCCATTTTTGACGGAATTCTCTTATATCATTCAAAAGGTATTGTTGTCTTAAACTTATATTTGAAAAATTATTTCACCTGTGATCATTTTTCGTAAAGTTATGAGGGTTTAAAGATTTCCATTTTGGCCATTTTGGCCAATTTGGGACAACTAACGCGCGATATATTTCGCGCTGTTAACGCGTAAGCGGAGATTTAATCCGTCTTATAAATCATTCCAAATTGGTTGAACGAAACTTATTTGCCATAATTGATTTGTTACAGGGAACAAAATCTATCTTTTTGTACTTTGTATGGCGTGTGGGGTATGATGATTTTCCTAAAAATTTTCAAATTTTAGAAAAAAAAATTTTCATTTTGTATTATTTCATTTAATTTTTTTTATGTATTACTGCTGCTCAATAAACCTTAAAAGGCAGTCGGAACATACAGGGCTTCGCCCTGACACGAGCAGTCTTGTTATAAATTTTAAATTGAACAGAAATCATCGACTTTGTTCAAGTCAACGATTTTAAAAGAAATTTTGACAGTATTTTTAAATATCAAATCAGCAAAATTTGTTAGTTGTGGTCATCGAATGTTTCACTAATACATTCTCAACGAGTCTAACACAAAATTTGTAGTTGTTTTGAGAGAAATTGAATGATTTTAAGACCTATGAATGTTTTAGTTCATATTTTTAGTGAAATAAACGAAATTACTTTTTTGAAGTAAAGGGTTTTCTTTATAATTTTTTATGATCCACTCAGCTTGGACTGATTCTTGAGTCATACTGACTCGTCACTTACGCTATGATTTTTTAGAAAAATGATAATATAGCGCCCTAAATATTCCAAATTTGTCAATTTAGCTATTTTTAAATCCTACGGTTTAAAAACCATGTTTTTTTAACTTGTTTTGATCCCAAGGTACTTTAATAAGCGTAAATTGGTAGTGGATTGCTTAGTAATTCAAACTAAAATTATAAAAACTAACTAAGATTGTCAACATTTTGAAAACAGTTTCAGATAAGACAAAAAAGGAAAGAGAATAAACAATTATGATGATCAGTACTTAAATAAGAATTTGTGAAATACATTGATCGAACAATTTCTAACAGCCTTTACCGAAAAGATAGGATTGTTTTTTTAGGCCTGTTCACTGTTGTTAATTTACTAGACTTATAGAAAAGTCTTGAGTTGTAATCAGTAGGTTAATTTTTTGAGTTGAAGTCCGCTTCTAAAGTTTGGAGTTCTCGTCTTTATCTCCAATTTAGCCTTTTCGTTTTTGGGTTTTCTTAAGTTGTTTGAGTGTCGCAGGTAATCTCGGGAAGCTAGTCTTGGTTAGTTTTCTAGTTTAAAGGTTGTTTTAGAGAAGATGCAGACTTTATTTTACGGATAATATTTGCCTTACGATTTTTTTTTCACTTTTTCAAAGTGAAGTTTTATGAAAGAAACCGTAGGAAAAATTGTAAACTTAACGAAAAAAAAATAGGGTTTCTTGATTTCAACTGCTTGCAAACTGAAACTCCGAGGCAAATGAATAATCAGGCCAGCTCTAGCCAATAGAAATAGTGACTCAAACTTGTGCAGGTGATCTTATTATCAAAGTTTTTTTGTTCTACATCCACCCTTTTTTCCATCGGATACAACAGACTTCAATTTTTTTTCTTCAATATTCTAGATAAACATCAAATAGATATTTGATCAGGGCATTTTATCTTATATGCACCTGCACTTTAATTTAGTTTTCAAAGAAATTGTTTTCCGGATCGTTTTTCCGGAACTAGGACTGTTAATTTTGCTAACAAAGAAATCAGTCCGCAATAGCGTCTTTGATTACATCTGCAGTTTGAAATAATGAATGAAAAAAGCAATACTCAATACTTTATTGTTCCGACTTTCGTTACGAAAGTAACGGAATATTTGTACTCGGGGTGGGTTTTTTTTTCTTCAGACAAATTTAGACTTTTTAACTACCCATTTTTGATGGAATCTTTTTATGTCATTCAAAAGGTATTGTTGTCCTGAGCTTAAATTTGAAAAGATTTTTCACCTGTGATCATTTTCATAAAGTTATGGGGGTTTAAAGATTGCCATTTTGGTCAATTTGGGACAATTAACGCGCGATATATTTTGCGCTATTAACGCGTAAGCGGAGATTTAATCCGTCTTAAAATCGTTTAAAATTGGTTGAAAGAAGCTTATTTGCCATAATTAATTTGTTACAAGGAGCAAAATCTATCCTTCAGTATTTTAGATGGCGTGTGGGGGGATGGTTTTCATTAAAAAAAACTCAAATTTCAAAGAAAAAATTTTTTTTTTCACATTTAACTTTTTAATGTTATTAATGCCCCATAAACCTTAAAATGCAGTCGGAACTTTCAGGGCTTCGCCCTGATACGAGCAGTCTTGTTAAATTTTGAGCTTTCATTTTACTAAAAGAGTAAATCAATTCAGAATTGACCCTGTTATAAGTCAAAAATAATTCTTAAATTAACTGAGATTAATCTCAGTCACATTAACGTTTTAAACAAAATTTTATATTATTTTGAGTTGTGAACAGGTTATGAATAGAAAAGAATCAATATTTTAGATAAAATAAATAAGAATTTTTTTTAAGTGTAGCAATGCTACAGTACCAATCAATATCTTTCAAAGGGTATGAGAAAATCGTGTCAAAAATGTTTGCCCAAAATTTCGAAACTTTTCCAAAGCAAAATTTTGAGCACAAATAGATTAGAGCGCAATTTCGATAAATTTTTTAGAATTCGTAACAATTTGGCAGTAAAAGACTTCAATTTGACTACGCTCGTGATTTTAAAGATTGTCAGCATTTTTGACTAACATTTCAAAAGCACTCTATAAAACCGACTATTTGATGATTTGACATTCAAATGATATATGCTTGAAGAAAAAAGTTAATAGACACAAAGTTTATCAATAACACTGAAGATTAGCGCTAATCCTTTTTCTTTCTGCCAGGGGTCAATTTTCAACGGAAAAGGCTGAATGAAAACTTACTATTTTGCGGTCAAGGTTTTTGCTATGCATATTGGTGAAGGGAAATTACATTTTGCAATTGTATCTTTCAGCTGACTCAGTACAAAAAGAAGTGCGGAGATCTGGAGACTCTGCTGATCGGTCGAGCCCGGCAAATAGACGACCTCACAGCCGAGGTTAATTCCTGGCAAAAGCTAACCCACATCAACTTACTATTACAATAAAAGGGATTAAATCATTTTCACACTTTGCTGTAATTGTAATGATATTAATCAATCAAAATATTTTATTAAGTAAAATGTATCTTATTTGTTCCAAATTTTGATTAGTACAACATAATATGCAAGATCAAATAGTTTATTTCAAAGCATTTGTCGCAAAAACGCAGATTTTTTCATTGGCATCCAGTGTGCATATATATCAAAGTAACCATCAAAGTTTCATTGTAACTACTCTGCTTACTTCTAGTCCTAAAGAGGGGGGGGGGGGTGGGTTGGTCCCCGGTAAGCTAGTGTAAAAAGGGCGATCATTTTAGCTGGAGAAGTTGAGGAGAGAGACAGAGATGCAGTTGCACGAAGCAGATGAGAAGAATAGCCGACTGCAGGGAAAGATGCAAAACGAGTAACAGGACGCACTCGCTCAACTGAAAGACGCAAAAACAAAGTTTGACAATTTTTTTACAACCTTTTCAACCTCCAGTTTTACATTTTTTTGACAAATTTAGACTTTTTTGAGCTACAATAATCGATTAACAGCAGAAGCACCTGTAGAAATAAGTTTTAGAGCGAGGCGTGGTAGAATTCAATCTGAAAAAAAGTTTACAGACTACTACATTCATTTTTTCCCGAAGGTCAAAGCTGTTCTTATACGAAATCCCTCAGAAGTTTTTCAAGGAACTTTAGATTAGTGTTCTATTTTCCACCCAATTATATTATATGCACAAAACGAAGCCTTAGATAAAGTCGATTGGCAAACTTTTCAAAAATTTTCAGCCATGTTTGAGTTGCTTTATGAATTTTCTGCTTTCTGGCCTATTTTTAAATCAGAGCGAAGAGCAAAGAGTTGATGAAGAACAAGACTAAAAATTTACGATAAATTTGAAGATTTTGATTTTTTGCAAAGAAGAAGTTTGGAAACTATTTGCGTTTCTTGTACATCAACCGGCTAGTTTTATTCAAGCTAACAGAGCTAGATGTACCGGGATCCCCCCTCCTTTCACTAGGCTTACCCCTGCACTACGTTGATTTAAGGCTGCAGTCCCAGCAAAAGAGAGACGACAGTTCACGTCAGGAGTTTGACATGCTCAAGTCGGAGAACAAGTCGCTCAAGGACAAAGTGTCGGAACTGGCGCGGGAGAGCGAAAGTGACAAACTCAAACTGCAGAGGATTGAACGGGAGGCCAAAAAAGAGGAACAGGTATGAAAAACAGTTTTTCGATTCATATTTCAACCATCTCTTCTCTGAAGATTTATCATTCAACTGATTGGTAACCCACGAAAACCTAACAGACACATTGTTACTAAATAGCTGAACGTTTTTGAACATTTTGGATGAATTCGACAAAAATCATGCTCATTCGGCGCACGCGTCTCTCTCGAAACAAGTCTAAATTGTAGCCAAACGCCTTTTTAATTTTTTTGAAGTTGACTCCCATAAAGACTAACTTAACCTTGAACAAAAAAGGGGAAATTCGAAGAAAAATGGCTATCAGAATTGAGAGAAACATGGTGAAAACAATAAAAACAGTAGTGATGTTGATTGTGCAGAAATTCGACAAGTACCTGAGCAGTGAGCGAGACATCCTCCTTGGCATCTGGAGGAGCTTCAAAGGGATCAAAGACGACTTCGTTGCTCTGAAGCGCAATACCGACTGGTAATTGTCAATTTACAGATATTAGTGCAAACCATTACTCACCCGGGTTGGCCAAAACTTCTTATCATACAATTTCCATTCATGAGAAACTTCTTGTCATACAATTCCATACGTACAGAAAACTGTATGATTTCTCTATGAGATCAGTGTATGGAGGTCAACCCATACAACAACCCCTCAACGATTTTAAAAGAAATTTTGACAGTATTTTTAAATATCAATTCAGCAAATTTTGTTAGTTGTGGTCATCGAATGTTTCACTAATACATTCTCAACGAGTCTAAAACAAAATTTGTAAAGTGACTCAAACTTGTGCAGGTGATCTTATTATCAAAGTTTTTTTGTTCTACATCCACCCTTTTTTCCATCGGATACAACAGACTTCAATTTTTTTTCTTCAATTTTCTAGATAAACATCAAATAGATATTTGATTAGGGCATTTTATCTTATCTGCACCTGCACTTTAATTTAGTTTTCAAAGAACTTGTTTCCCGGATCGTTTTTCCGGAACTAGGACTGTTAATTTTGCTAACAAAGAAATCAGTCCGCATTAGCGTCTCTGATTACATCTGCAGTTTGAAATAATGAATGAAAAAAGCAATACTCAATACTTTATTGTTCCGACTGTCGATACGAAAGTAACGGAATATTTGTGCTCGGGGTGGGTTTTTTTTCTTCAGACAAATTTAGACTTTTTAACTACCCATTTTTGATGGAATCTTTTTATGTCATTCAAAAGGTATTGTTGTCCTGAGCTTAAATTTGAAAGGATTTTTCATCTGTGATCATTTTTCATAAAGTTATGGGGGTTTAAAGATTGCCATTTTGGTCAATTTGGGACAATTAACGCGCGATATATTTTGCGCTATTAACGCGTAAGCGGAGATTTAATCCGTATTAAAATCGTTTCAAATTGGTTGAAAGAAGCTTATTTGCCATAATTAATTTGTTACAAGGAGCAAAATCTATCCTTCAGTATTTTAGATGGCGTGTGGGGGGATGGTTTTCATTAAAAAAAATTAAAATTTCAAAAAAAAAATTTTTTTTTTCACATTTAACTTTTTAATGTTATTACTGCCCCATAAACCTTAAAAGGCAGTCGGAACTTTCAGGGCTTCGCCCTGATACGAGCATTCTTGTTAAATTTTGAGCTTTGATTTTACGAAAAGAGTAAATCAATTCAGAATTGACCCTGTTATAAGTCAAAAATAATTCTTAAATTAACTGAGATGAATCTCAGTCACATTAACATTTTAAACAAAATTTTATATTATTTTGAGTTGTGAACAGGTTATGAATAGAAAAGAATCAATATTTTAGATAAAATAAATAAGAATTTTTTTTAAGTGTAGCAATGCTACAGTACCAATCAATATCTTTCAAAGGGTATGAGAAAATCGTGTCAAAAATGTTTGCCCAAAATTTCGAAATTTTTCCAAAGCAAAATTTTGAGCACAAATAGATTAGAGCGCAATTTCGATAAATTTTTTAGAAGTCGTAACAAATTGGCAGTAAAAGACTTCAATTTGACTACGCTCGTGATTTTAAAGATTGTCAGCATTTTTGACTAACATTTCAAAAGCACTCTATAAAACCGACTATTTGATGATTTGACATTCAAATGATATATGCTTGAAGAAAAAAAGTTAATAGACACAAAGTTTATCAATAACACTGAAGATTAGCGCTAATCCTTTTTCTTTCTGCCAGGGGTCAATTTTCAACGGAAATGGCTGAATGAAAACTTCACATTTTCACATTTAACTTTTTAATGTTATTACTGCCCCATAAACCTTAAAAGGCAGTCGGAACTTTCAGGGCTTCGCCCTGATACGAGCAGTCTTGTTAAATTTTGAGCTTTGATTTTACGAAAAGAGTAAATCAATTCAGAATTGACCCTGTTATAAATCAAAAATAATTCTTAAATTAACTGAGATTAATCTCAGTCACATTAACGTTTTAAACAAAATTTCATATTATTTTGAGTTGTGAACAGGTTATGAATAGAAAAGAATCAATATTTTAGATAAAATAAATAAGAATTTTTTTTAAGTGTAGCAATGCTACAGTACCAATCAATATCTTTCAAAGGGTATGAGAAAATCGTGTCAAAAATGTTTGCCCAAAATTTCGAAATTTTTTCAAAGCAAAATTTTGAGCACAAATAGATTAGAGCGCAATTTCGATAAATTTTTTAGAAGTCGTAACAAATTGGCAGTAAAAGACTTCAATTTGACTACGCTCGTGATTTTAAAGATTGTCAGCATTTTTGACTAACATTTCAAAAGCACTCTATAAAACCGACTATTTGATGATTTGACATTCAAATGATATATGCTTGAAGAAAAAAAGTTAATAGACACAAAGTTTATCAATAACACTGAAGATTAGCGCTAATCCTTTTTCTTTCTGCCAGGGGTCAATTTTCAACGGAAATGGCTGAATGAAAACTTACTATTTTGCGGTCAAGGTTTTTGCTATGCATATTGGTGAAGGGAAATTGCATTTTGCAATTGTATCTTTCAGCTGACTCAGTACAAAAAGAAGTGCGGAGATCTGGAGACTCTGCTGATCGATCGAGCCCGGCAAATAGACGACCTCACAGCCGAGGTTAGTTCCTGGCAAAAGCTAACCCACATCAACTTACTATTACAATAAAAGGGATTAAATCATTTTCACACTTTACTGTAATTGTAATGATATTAATTACAATAAAAGGGGGGGGGTGGGTTGGTCCCCGGTAAGCTAGTGTAAAAATGGCGATCATTTTAGCTGGAGAAGTTGAGGAGAGAGACAGAGATGCAGTTGCACGAAGCAGATGAGAAGAATAGCCGACTGCAGGGGAAGATGCAAAACGAGTTACAGGACGCACTCGCTCAACTGAAAGACGCAAAAACAAAGTTTGACTATTTTTTTACAACCTTTTCACCCTCCAGTTTTACATTTTTTTTGACAAATTTAGACTTTACGAGCTACAATAATCGATTAACAGCAGAAGCACCTGTAGAAATAAGTTTTGGAGCGAGGCGAGGTGGAATTCAATCTGAAAAAAAAGTTTACAGACTACTACATTCATTTTTTCCCGAAGATCCCAAGAGACGTTGATTAATTAAATTTGAGGCACTGAAACGCAATTTTTTTAAACCAATTTCTACAAAATGATCAAAAAGATCCTTATCATAAAAACCACCAGTCAAGTCCTTCAAATATTGCACGTAGATCCAAATCAATTATTCTTTTAGTGAATCAATTCTTGACAGAATTTACGTAGAATTAGAGTCTAGCAAAACAGACAAAAAAGGTTCTGGCAGCAAAAAGGTTTCCTCAGTAACATCTGGCAGCAACTGATTAACGTTATTTGATTTTGTATTGGATTGTTTTGTATGGGATTGTTTTGTAAATGCACCATATTTCACGGATAAAGTTTTTTTTTGGAAAATGGTAATCAAAATCAAATATAAGATTTCTATGTTGATTAATTACAGGAGGAGATGTCACTCAACAGGTCGCAAGTTATGCTGACGATCTCCCAAATTAGTGCTTAACCAATTATACCTAATTTGAGTTTTGATAGTATGAAACCCTTATGATATTTATGATTATGATTATTTACAAATTGGTTCATTTTTGGTTCATGTTTTCTAATGGACTCCAGGCAAACACACTGACCTTTGTAAAGGGAAGACTATTTTTTTTCTTATCATTCAAGGAAGACTCAATCGGCTATCTTTTCATAACCAAAGGCAAAAAAAAACGAAAAAAAAAACTATCATTGAAATGCGCAAATTGGAAGGAACCAACAGCTATAATCTTACGTGTTTATCCGCTTTAAACTTCAATTGATGATCAAATTTATCAAACTTAAATTGATAATCAAAACTTATCAAACTCTAATTGATGATCAAAATTTATCAAACTTTAATTGATGATCATGGCGCCATGTTGTAGTTTGATTGTCGGACAATAATCAACTAACAAATTCTGATTTACAAAATGAAGCAATTTCCATCTTGTATTTTTTGCGATATGTCAATAACAGTTCATTTTGATGAAGAATTAAGTCGCGCCGGAGCCAATCATTTAGATTAAAAATTTTGAAGCGGGAAGGAAAAGCAAACATTATCAGACCGGCACTGCTGATTTTGTTTACTACAACTTTTCATTCTACTACGCTAACTAGTTCATGTTTTATTTTTTCTTGAAAGCCTCAATTCGAAGTTTTTGAAGAGGTCATCAAAGCTGTTCTTATACGAAATCCCTCAGAAGTTTTTCAAGGAACTTTAGATTAGTGTTCTATTTTCCACCCAATTATATTATATGCACAAAACGAAGCTTTAGATAAAGTCGATTGGTAAACTTTTCAAAAATTTTCAGCCATGTTTGAGTTGCTTTATGAATTTTCTGCTTTCTGGCCTATTTTTAAATCAGAGCGAAGAGCAAAGAGTTGATGAAGAACAAGACTAAAAATTTACGATAAATTTGAAGATTTTGATTTTTTGCAAGGAGAAGTTTGGAAACTATTTGCGTTTCTTGTACATCAACCGGCTAGTTTTATTCAAGCTAACAGAGCTAGATGTACCGGGATCCCCCCTCCCCTCACTAGGCTTGCCCCTGCACTACATTGATTTCAGGCTGCAGTCCCAGCAAAAGAGAGACGACAGTTCACGTCAGGAGTTTGACATGCTCAAGTCGGAGAACAAGTCACTCAAGGACAAAGTGTCGGAACTGGCGCGGGAGAGCGAAAGTGACAAACTCAAACTGCAGAGGATTGAACGGGAGGCCAAAAAAGAGGAACAGGTATAAAAAAACCGTTTTTCGATCCATTTTTCAACTATCTCTTCTCTGAAGATTTATCATTCAACTGATTGGTAACCCACGAAAACCTAACAGGTAAATTGTTACTAAATAGCAAAATTTTTTCCGTTTTTGAACATTTTGGATGAATTCGCACGCGTCTCTCTCAAAACAAGTCTAAATTTTAGCCAAACGCCTTTTTAATTTTTTTGAAGTTGACTCCCATAAAGACTAACTTAACCTTGAACAAAAAAGGGGAAATTCGAAAAAAAAATGGCTATCAGAATTGAGAGAAACATGGTGAAAACAATAAAAACAGTAGTGATGTTGATTGTGCAGAATTTCGACAAGTACCTGAGCAGTGAGCGAGACATCCTCCTCGGCATCTGGAGGAGCTTCAAAGGGATCAAAGACGACTTCGTTGCTCTGAAGCGCAACACCGACTGGTAATTGTCAATTTACAGATATTAGTGCAAACCATTACTCACCCGGGTTGGCCAAAACTTCTTATCATACAATTTCAATTCATGAGAAACTTCTTGTCATACAATTCCATACTTACAGAAAGTTTTATGATTTCTCTATGATAAGCACATTCAGTGTATGGAGGTCAACTCGGGCAAAAAAATATATCATGGTTCGTTATTTGAAAAAATTTTTTTTTGTTTCTCCGGCGAAAACTATACTTTGGGTGAGATCTTTGTTAATGTGTAAGCTATCCGCTTATGTATAGCAAACCCTTGGATTAATTTTTAAATGCATTTTTAGAAGCATAGCTTAAAAATTATCACTAGTAAGTTGTGGAAAAACTTAGGAAAATGATGGTTAAAGACAAAACCTTTCCCGCACTGAAGTTTCATGGATAAAAATTGAGTATAATAAATTTTTGTTGACTAATAAGTTGTCTATATAATCGGCTATCATGGCAAACTTAGACAAGCCATATAATCCATTATAATCGATTATAATCCATTATTGTTTTCAATATAATGGATTATATTTTGGACATAAAATCCATGAAAAATGAGTAAATTTTGAGAATAATGACTCTACTTTTTGATAAACTTCTGCAAAACTCGAACGAACACGTTCATCCAGGGGCAGCCAGAATGTAGTAACTTTGAAGAGGCCAATGTGTAGTATTTTTCCACAAGTGCCCAAATACGGCATTTTTGACCAGTTCCCCGCACGTAAACCCCCCCCCCCCTCCCCCCCCCCCCCCGATTTTGGTTAATTGACATTAAAGGAGCTGGACGCGATTCGAAATCATGAGAAGAAGTAGTGCAGTATTTCAAGTTATTTTAGAGAGCAAATCGTTTCTCAAAAAGCCCAAGTTTTTTAAGCGAGTTTAATCAAGCAAGGACGTTTTAAGGCATATATTGCCTTAAAAGGAGGTATAGCTTGAATTGGTTTGCAAACATTTCAGGTTTTTTAAGCAAGCTCATCAAGTGATAAAGTTTTGTCAAGCCAATTATTGAGTAAAAAAATTGACGGAATATTTACTTAGTGAGCAGATTGAACCATTTTTTGTGGCAGGCATTGAGTGAAAAAAGTTGGGAATTGTTTCTTTGCATGAATCAGTCGCAGAAGCAAAAAGATCATGTAAACAAGTTTGGGCCCTTTTCCTTTCCCTCACCGGCAAAACTTTACAAGTAAAAATTTTTATCACTTTAATCGATTGTTATGAAAACTGAGAACGAACTAATTAGGCTATGACAAAAATATTTGGTATTCATAATTGTTCCGACTTTCGATACGAAAGTAACGGAATATTTGTACTCGGGGTGGGTTTTTTTTTCTTCAGACAAATTTCGACTTTTTAATTAGCCATTTTTGACGGAATTTTTTATATTGTTCGAAAGATATTGTTGTCCTGAGCTCAAATTTGAAAAGATATTTCACCTGTGGTCATTTTTCGTAAAGTTACGGGGGTTTAAAGATTGCCATTTTGGCCAATTTGGGACAATTAACGGGCGATATATTTCGCGCTATTAACGCGTAAGCGGAGAGTTAATCCGTCTTAGAAATCGTTCCAAATTGGTTAAAAGAAGCTTATTTGCCTTAAATGGTTTGTTACAAGGAGCGAAATCTATCTTTTTGTACTTTATATGGCGTGTGGGGGGATAAATTTCAAAATTTAGAAGAAAAAAAATTTCATTTTGTTTTATTTCATTGAATTTTTTTTGTTATTACTGCTCCATAAACCTCAAAAGGCAGTCGGAACATTCAGGGCTTCGCCCTGATACGAGCAGTCTTGTTAACCTTTAAAAAACACTAGTTACTCCGTAAAATTCATGTTCGTGTGAGGTGGGGGGAAGGTAAAGAGCCGAAACTCAGTCTAAAAGATCGTCACTATCGACTAGCTTGCTTCACTTCAAAAACCTCTGCCTCACGACAAAAAGTTTTTAATGGTTTTTTTCTTCATTTTTTGCGTGTGCATGGAGAAAGAAAAGGGACAAAACGCAAGCTTGGAAATATCACTGATGGTTCTGTTGACTCGAGTTCTTTTTACAAAACCTATGACGAAAAAAACTTTCGAAAAGTTCGAAAAAATTTCGGTAAATTAATGTTTCTTGTCACTAAGAAAACTTTTAGGACTTGTGGTTCCTAATTTTGTTCCGATAAAAAAAAATAAACGCATCGCAGACAAAGTTCATTTGCACTTTCAGTTGTCGGAACAATAAAACCTTGCTGCAATGGGGAACAATTTAAGTCACACGAGTGGTGGGTAATTTGAAAAGGGTTTTCGGCAAATAGGACGACAGCCGTTAAGACGACAACCGTTTTTGATGGGACTTTAAGACGACGCTTCACGCAACTCTCGACATTGTATTTCTGAGAAATTCAAACCGTATTAAACCTCATTTTATATATATTAACGCAAACTTGTTGTCTCAATGTCTAGTCGCCTTAATGGCCTGTCGTCCTATCTACCTAGCACCATTGAAAAGAGCCATTGTTATTAACAGGGACTTGACTGGGATGCAGGAGCACCTGGCTAAAGTGTCTCAGAAGAGTGAGGACTTTGTGGATGAGTTTGGACAGAGGGAGCGTGAACAGGAGAGGGTGAGTAGGGAGAGGGAGGGGCGGGAGGGGAGGAGGGTGGAGCAGATGCAGAAGCAGGTGGGGGAGCAGGAGAAGAAGATGAAGCAGAGGGAGGCGGACTGGAGTCACGAGCGGGAGGCCATGAAGAGCCAGTGAGTAGTGGCAATCAATAAAAACAATAATATCACAGCACTGTCATAATGACAATGATATTATAATAACCAAAACTATTATAACAATCAATGCTTATATAATAACAAAACTTTTATAACATTAAAAACAATAACTATCTTAATAACATAAATAATCAAAGGAAAATAGTTTTCAAATGATATCTTGCTACAAAATGAGGAAGAATTTTTTTCCAAATATTCAACAATATCTATACTATCATCACTATAAATCAGATACTGTAATCTGAAAGCTACCCTGTTTTTCAGAAAATTTTGGTTTTCTCAAAAGAACAAACTGGAATAAATTGAGCTTTTTTTTAAAAAAGTCAGAGCCTTTGAGTTTTCTTCAGCTCACGCTGACAAACTTGAGTTTTTTCTTTGAAAAATATCTGCTTTCGAGCTCAGGTCATCAGAACATATGGTAACTGGACTCTTTTTCCCCTACTTCGGACGAGAATCTATTTTATTGTGTAACGAGTTCTTCTACAAGGTTAATTATGATGGTGAAATGGCGCACAGACAATTCGGACAAAGACAATTCAGCCATTTTGAAAATCAGACAATTCAGGCAGAAATATACAGACAATTCAGCCTGAGACACTTCAGCCAGTTTTACAAAACGCTAAATTCGAAAGAAAAAATCGGAATTGGAGTTGTTTCTCGGTTTAAGGTCGGCTGAATTGTCTTTGACCGAATTGTCTGGACGCGGGTCAAATATGCTTGTCATAGCCTAATTAGTCCGCATGTCATATTTCATAACTATCGGGAAAAATGAACTATCATTTTACCTGTAAAAGTTTGCAGGTAGGAGTAGTGGGAAAAACAGCCGGTAACTGTATTCTTACGATAGATTCTAAATTAATAACCGTTACTTTCTTTCTCTCAACAGAATCGAAGACTTGCGAGATGCGATTGCGAAGCAGCAAGCAGAGGCGGAGGAGAGAAGGGCAAGGGCAGAGGAAGCCGAGAGAACGAGGGCAAGTTAACTCGAAATAAATTTGTATTTCGCTAAAATTTTCGTACAAATTCAAAATGATTCGTACAAAAAATTAACTAGAAAAAAAGCGACTCAATTTTTCTCAACTCAACTTAATTGCACCCCCCCCCCCCCGAAGCAAAGTCGGCGACTAACTTTTAGACTTTCAATTTTGCGCCGATGTTGATTCCTTGACTGAAAACTAGACAGTTATCTGACCAGCTTTTTATAGTCGCGAACAACGTCAAAAATCATGGATTTTGGTCGCGATAATCTGAAATTTAGTCGCGATAGCCTTCTTTCAACGCCTTCTGAAACCTGGCTTTCTTTATGAGGTTTTGTTTTTCTGAACCAAATTATTTTGAATAACACAAAAAGAATAAACAGTTTATATGTCTCATCATTTTCAGGACGGTGATGCGGAAAAGCTGAAGCAATTGGATGATCACGTGTCAACTCTGAATGCATACATTGAGGAGATTGGACAAGCAGTTCTCGCAGACGCCGCCCAGGGAAAGTGAGTAAAGATACACAGCTGTCTTGTTGGAACCTTAGTAACAGGCCGAAATTTCACTAATCACTAGTCTTCGAAGGAGTTTATTTAAGACGATTTATCCACAAAGGATTTATAATAGAAAATGTTGCCTAATTTGGTTACACATAATAATTTATAATGGCGACATTTTCGGCATAATTTTTTCTCAATATATTATATTTTTTTTCCAAGAAAGTTACTCACTGGAGAAAAACACTCATCTTTAAGCTTTCCCGTACTGAACTTTTTGTTCCATTTCACGGCTGATCATCCATTTAGCAGGGGAGAGAAAATTCTCAGGACTGTTCCCCCATTATGCAGGGCTGTTCAGAAGTGAGCATGCGTATTTTTCTACAGACATGGTCGTACCTGGATCTTACATGATCAGACCTGAGTGAAACATGTTCATGCCTGCCGCAGACATGATAACGCCTGACTGAAAACTTGACAAATACATTTAATAATCTTATAATACTGAAGATACCGATTTGAGCATATTCGGTTCAGGCATGGTCATGTATCCTGCAGATGTGAGCATGTTTAGTTCAGGTATGATAATGTATCCTGCAGGTGTGAGCATGTTTAGTTCAGGTATGATCATGTATCCTGCAGGTGTGAGCATGTTTAGTTCAGGTATGATCATGTATCCTGCAGGTGTGAGCATGTTTAGTTCAGGTATGATCATGTATCCTGCAGGTGTGAGCATGTTTAGTTCAGGTATGATCATGTATCCTGCAGGTGTGAGCATGTTTAGTTCAGGTATGATCATGTATCCTGCAGGTGTGAGCATGTTTAGTTCAGGTATGATCATGTATCCGGCAGGTGTGAGCATGTTCAGTTCAGGCATGATCATGCATGCTGCAGGTGTGAGCATATCTTCAGTTAGCACACCTGATGCAGGTCTGATGCAGGTATGTGCATGCCGAATATAGACATGCTGCACATCTGTAACAGACATGAATTTTGCATGATTTTACAATGATCAGATATGATTATGGCCAAAAAGTTCGGTACGGGTTCGGTGCGAGAACATTCGAGCTGTTCAGCTCTTCACGGAGAACCGCTGTTGAGCACCTAGTTAAGATCTACACCCAATTCTACATGCAGATCTATTTTTTTGGCCTGGATAATGTTGCCTCCCTCAAGCAACAAACACGGATAATGGTGCGGGCCTCGTGGATCCAACCTTTTGATTGAGAGGCTGAGACGTAACCACCTCAAGACCGATCAACAGGATTTTTTTTACGACACTATATATATACTATATGACAAATACTTTTGTTTTGCAGCTCTCTCTTTGCGAATGAGTTCGACGTGAAACTCACCGGCGACGACTTCATAAACCTCAGATCCCGATTGGACAACGCGAGCAGGTCATCATCCCTCAGAAGGGGAGGGACAGCTTCTAGGTCTAGATCTCCTGATTTGGCACACTCAGTTTCAAATGCAGTTCAAGTGGCGCTCAAGAAACGACAGATGCAAATTGAGGTGGATCAATTTTTGAGCATTATTTTCTAACTTCCATTTTTATTGATAGGTAATTTTTGTTTTATTGTTTGATGTTGCTGAATGTGAAAAGTGTTATTAGAATATAATATCATCTCACGCTTCAGACTTATAATTTTCAGCAGCAATCTAGGAAGATGTCATATTTTTAGGGCATTTCTAGCGCTCGCCCAACTGTGGTTTTAACTTAATTTACAAGGTCCGGGTTACATGGCCCATAGTTATTACCCATTTTAAAACCATTAAAAATTTAAACGATGTTGGGGGGGGGGGGGTAGGCTGTAAAGTAGCTCATTTTCTTCATGTTTAAACTTCCATATATTCGAACCATAGAATAAGACGGGCCTCAATGCGATACCATAATCATAATCCTGCCGAAAAGCACCCCCCTCCGCTTCCAAAAACGTTCCATCACTGAGGTTTCCTATAACATAAGTATAATTTTTTTTTTGCAGGAAGCCTTGAAGAAGTCAGGCGACACTGTGGAGCAAGTGGAGAGTGCGGAGGCGAGGGCGGAGGCGAAGGAGCGAGAGGCGGAGTATCTGGAGAGGGCCACGAACAGTCTGAAGGGGGAGTTGAATGATATAAAGAAGGTGGCAGACAGTGCGTTGAGAGACAGGGACAGAATGCACAAACAAGTGGCCAAGTTGGAGAGGTGAGCTAGAATTTAGAAAACATATGCAGCAATAGTTGATAGAACTCCTCTATTTTGGCCACTAGTTTTCTCAAAACTAACAAAGTAAGAAAACTTTTCAATGAAATTTTTGAAAGTCAAAATATATAATTATAAAATAATTATCATTTATATTGTTGTTTTCATTAAGAAACTTGGAATAGAAATTGATCGAAAATTTTTATATGAATTTTTACTCCAAATTTTAGATCTTAATGACCGAATGTAGATCGTGATCTCAAGATCTTAATGGCAGAATTTAGACCGTGAAAATGTAATCAAAAACTGCGTTGAACCTCTTTGTTGTTTCAGAGACAAGAGTAATCTTGAGAACATAATGGCTGAAGTGAGTAAAGCGAGGGAGGAGATGGTGGCAGAGAGGGCGGAGATGACCTATAAGCAGGAACAGCTGCTGGCCAAACAGGACGCCTTCGAGGAGACTCTGGCAGATCTGGAGAACGACAACCTGCACAAGTCCAAGGAGGTATTTATTTGCTAATTTGCATCAGAAATTCCCCGAAAAATTAATGACATAACTAAAAACTGTAGACAATTGTTTTGAGTTTATACTTGTTACAACGTTTTTGTTAGAAATAAAATCTCAAAAGGCTTAGATCAAAAAGAGCGCATCGGTTATTTTTAAAGCAAAACAAGGATAGCCGGTTACTGCGCAAGTGACTAGAAAAAAAATGAGTTTTAAGTTTTGGTTTCCAAAATGAAGCTGAAAAACTCCACAAACTAGTTTTACTTGCTTAAGATTCAGTTTTAGGGTCTCAAATAAGGCATAACTCAGCTTGTAAGCCTGCTCGCTTGCTTTAGTCTCTCGAATTAGGACAAAAATATCAATATTTTCAAACCGCTTTTTCTCAACACTGGGAAATTTTTCTAAACATTTTTAAATGCAAATGGAACAAGAAAGCTCGTACATAGAAGCCCTGAATGTTCCGATTAAAGTCCAAATATACATTGTTTTTCATTTTTTCTTTTTTATCCCCTTAATTAACGCTCTGTGAAGTACAAAAGGTGTGCCTGGCGTCTCAAATTGTTTTATAAGATTTAAACTGCTGGCCTCAGTTCGATTTGGAACGCCCTAAATGGCCAACTACACCTGTTATCAGAAACCAATTTATTGCGTGTCAATTATCCCAAAATGACCAAAAAAAGAAAATTTCAAAATTCTGTAACTTAAAAAAAAAATAGTCTCAGGTAAAAAATCTTTCTAATTTTAAGATCAATGCGTGAAAATATTTCGGATAATTTGAAAGTTTTATTCAAAAGTAGCTCGTTAAAAGCCAAAAATTATTCGGGACAAAGAACTTGCGATATTTTTTGCGCTATTGACGCGTGAGCGGAGACTTAATACGCCTTAGAAATCGTTCCAAAAGCTTGTTTGCCATGACTGATTTCTTACTAGAAGCGAATTTTCTCACTTTGTATTTTGTCTGGCGTATAATTGGGGGTAAAGTTTTGAAGAAAAAAAATCATGTAATTTAATTTTTTTCATGTTATTACTGCTCCATGGAGGCAGTAGGAACATTCAGGATTTTGCCTTTTAACTGGTTCCAGACTCTAGAAAGAACTTTTTATAGTCGGTTGCGGTTTACAGCACCAGCAATCCAAAACCATCTATGAAAAAATTTAAAAGAGATTTTGTCAGTATAAAAGAACCTATTTGATCCAAGTAGACACAATGCGCTTTACTTTTTGGTCGAAAAAATTGTTTAATTAATTTTTTTTGCGCAACGCTGGCGGACTAACTTCCCCCGAATAATTTAAACCAGTACTGAATCCCTCATAGTGCCAATTGCCCCATGAAAAATTGCCCCAGTTTTCAATTCAAATTCGAATTGAAGAGCAAAGCAATTTTAAATTTCAATGAAATTATTAAAGATAATTAACAGAAAGTAAATATATACATTAAAGACTAAAAGCTAGAAGGACAAACTAACAGTTATGGCATTGGGGCAACCCAATTTTTTGCATTCAGCGGCAGAGCATACGATTCATTTCATTTTTCTGAAAATCCGACCCAATAAAGAAGACGATTTTACGAATCATGGACTTCCTTGCACATCATTCCCCATCCCCACCTTACTGAACGCGCGTGATTTTTATCTCATGGAGATTAAGTTCTTTTCAAATAACGGATATTTTTTATCGATTAAAAACAGATTCATATTTGGATTTCGAACTCACGCTAAAACTATCAATATTAATTCCCATTTTTTGCCTTACTGACTGTGACCCGTGATTTATTAAATTTTGCAATCGATACGTTTTCGTACATAAAGTTAAATGGAATTTGAATTTTTAGTTTAGTCAAATACCCATGCTTGCAATGAAATCAGTAGAAAAGTGGAAATGTAAATCCATAAAATGTATACTATTAGATTTCGGGAAAATGAATTAAAAAATTGGAATTTTTGTCCTAGGGGGCGCAGCCTTATTAGGGGTTTTTGTCCTGGGGATTTTATCATTGGGAATTTATTGTGAGGATTTTATCTCGGTGGATTTATTGCTAGACCCGTTGCACAAACAACAATCCTTATGTTTTCCTCCTGTTTTTCTTGCTCTAAATAGAAAAGGCAACCCTGAATGCTTGCACTAGAGAAGATTTGTTGGCATGCTGTCAACGACACTAGTTCAAACTCCACTAGCCGTTGAATTGTTTGCGTTCCAATCATTTAACACTTTGATTGGAACTTATTTTCTCTTGTTGTAACCAGATTTTAGGGTTTTCAAAGTCAAATGTGCAACTTATTGAAATAAAATGACGATATATTGTTGTTTATTACTATTTTTTTTTAATTACCTACAAAGGGGAAGTGGACTTTTTGGCAAAAAAAAACGGCATCTAAAATTCAGTGCGAGAATACCAAGGCTAATCATCCCTTTCCCTGTTTGGTCTAGTAACACAGGTGCATCCATTAATCCGATAAGGATAGACTTAGTTGGTTAAATTGGTGCTGATCTCCCATCCACCACCTCGGGATGCTAGTTCTAGCTCGGAATATGCTATGCTTTTAGCGCTTTTAGCGCTGCAATTAATTTTGCCGAAACATACACGAAAACTAGTCATGAAGTCTGCAACAATTGATAAGAAACTCATTTACTGTTGTACTGAATTTAATTTAATGATTTTTTATCATGATTCCTTTCAGTTTGTTGTTAGCTTATAACAAAACTTATTCACCCTTAGGGGCAGAAGCCACTGTAACTCCTATTCAAACCTCGCAACTTGGCAAAATCTTTTCAAGTTTTGTTGAAAACTGTTCGCTTGATACTGTGCTGCAACATAGTCCTTAAGTTCACATCATTTCTTTCCCTGTAGATCAGCGCAAAGGAGCAGCAGATGGGGGAGTTGAGGGAGCACGTGACCCAGTTGGAGAGACAGACGGATGCCATGAAGAGCGAAGTGAGGCGACAGAAGAGGGAGAGAGAGGACGCCCAACACCAACTCAACCAACTCAGTGAGTCATTCATTTATGCTTCCAACTCAGAATTTATGCTTCCACCGAAATGGTCGATCCAAATGCTATTGTGCAGCCAAAAATCTATAATCGCGCAGTACCTATAATCGAATTGAGTGGAAACATAAATTTGAACTGAGTCGAAACATAAAGACGAACTGATTCGAAACATAAGGTCGAACTGATTCGAAACATAAAGTCAAACAGAGGCGAAACATGTAATTGAACTGAGTCGAAAAATATAGTCGAACAGAGTTGAAACATATAGTCGCACTGAATCAGAACATAAAATCGAACTGAGTCGAAACAAAAAGTCGAACTGAGTCGAAACAAGAAGTAGAACCGATTCGAAACATAAAGTCGAACTGAATCGAAACATAAAGTCGAACTGATTCGAAATGTAATTTAGAACTGGATTGAAAAATAAAACGAATTGATTCGAAACATAAATTTGAACTGATGCGAAACGTATGGTCGAACTGAGTCTAAACATATCGTCGAACTGAGTCAGAACATAAATTCGATCAGAGTCGAAATGTGTAGTAGAACTGAATTGAAAAAAAAAAGAACTGAATCAAAACATAAATTTGAACAGATTCGAAACGTATAGTCGAACTGATTAAAAACAATTAGTCGAACTGAGTCAGAACCTAAAGTCGAATTGAGTGGAAACACAAAGTCGAACTGAATCAAAACATAAGTCGAACTGAGTCAAAACATAAACTGGAAATGAGTCGAAAGATAAAGACGAAGTGAGTCGAACTATATAGTCGAACGGAGTCAAAAAATAAATTCAAACTGATTCAAAACATAAATTCGAACTGAATCAAAACATAAATTCAAGTTTGATTGAAACATAAAATCGATTTCATTCAAGAAACGAAGTCGAACTGATTTGAAACATGTAGTCCAACTGAGACAAAACTTAAAGTCGCGATGAGGTAGAGTCGAATCGTAGAGTCGAACTGAGTCGAAACATAGAGTCGAACTAGTCGAAACATGAAGTCGAACTTCTTCAAATCAGATAGTCGGACTGAGTAAAAAAAAGTCGAAACATCTAGTCGAACTGAGTCAAGACACAAAGTCGAACTGAGTCAAAACAAAAAATCCAACTGATTCAAAAAATATTGACGAACTGAGTCAAAACATAAAGTCGAAAAGATTCAAATCATAAAACTGAACCGAGTCGAAACATATAGTCAAACAGAGTCGAAAAATAAAAATAAATTGAGTCGAAAGATAAAGTCGAACTGATTTGAATCACATAGTCGAACTGAGTCGGAACATAAAGTCGAACTGAGTTAAATCAAAAATTCGAACTGATTCGAAACATATTGACAAACTGAGTCAAAACATAAAGTCGAAAAGATTCAAATCATAAAACTGAACCGAGTCGAAACATATAGTTAAACAGAGTCAAAAAATAAAAATAAATTGAGTCGAAAGGTAAAGTCGAACTGATTTGAAACATAATTTTGAACTAAGTCGAAACATGAAGTCGACCTGAGTCAAAACAAAAAGTCGAACTGAGTCGAAATATACAGTCGAACTGAGTGGAAACAAGAGGTATAACCGACTCGAAACATATAGTCGATCGTAGTCGAATCATAAAGTTGAACTGAGTCGAAACATGGAGTTGAACTGAGTCGTAACATTTAGTTGAACTGATTCGAAACATATAGTCGAACTGAGATATAACAAACAGTCAAAGTAGTCGAAACATAAAGTTTAACTGATTTGAAACATATAGTCGAAATCAGTCAAAACATACAGTTGAACTGAGTCGCAACATAAAGTGGAACTGGTTCGAAACAGATAGTCGCACTGCGGATTGATTCAAAAGATAAATTTGAACTGAGTCTTAACAAAAAAAGTTGAATTGAGTCGAAACATAAAATCAAACTGAGACGAAACATCTAGTCGAACTGAGTCGAAACATAAAGTCAAACAGAGGCGAAACATGTAATTGAACTGAGTCGAAAAATATAGTCGAACAGAGTTGAAACATATAGTCGCACTGAATCAGAACATAAAATCGAACTGAGTCGAAACAAAAAGTCGAACTGAATTGAAACATAAAATCGAGCTGACATGAAACATAAAGTCTAACTGAGTCGAAACAAAAAGTCGAACTGATTCGAAACAAAAAGTAGAACTGATTCGAAACATTTTGACAAACTGATTCAAAACATGAAGTCGAACTGAGTTGAAAAATTAAATCGAGCTGAAACATAACCTAGTGCTAACTCAAAACAAGAAGTCTAACTGAGTCGAAACAAAAGGTGGAACTCAGTCGAAACAAAAAATCGGACTGAGTCGAAACAAAAAGCCGAATTGAGTCAAAACAAAAAGTCGAACTGATTCGAAACTTTTTGAATTACTGGGTCAAAACATAAAATCGAAATGAGTCAAAACATAAAATTGAACTAGTCGAAACATACAGTCAGACCGAGTTAAAACATAAAGTTAAACTGAGTCGAAAGATAAAGTCAATCTCATTCGAAACATAAAGTCGAACTAAGTCGAAACGTAAAGTCGAATCGGCTCAAAACATAACTTCAAGCTGGGTCGAAACACTGGAATTGAGTTGCCTGGCCGCATCGCTGTGCTGCGATAGCGTGAACAAAAAGCAAAAAAAAAGGCGGCGGCTCAAAATCAAGTTTCAATAACATTCTGTTCGGAATTTTTTTGTAAAGAGTTCCAATGCAACAATCTTGCTTACAATTTTTAACTGACCGCACACAAGATTCTCAAAAACACTCAAATCAAAAATCTGAGAATTTCTTTTTAAAAAGTTAGGGACCTCGAAATTAAAATAAAGTTCAGGGAAATCAAACATTCATCTAAATGCAAAAAAACTACTTCCCGTGAGTTTTAATAACTTTGAATTTAATGCTTTCTCCCCTTTTTTTTTGAAAAAATATCAGCTCCCAGTTGTAGAAAAAAATTGGCGTTTATTGGTTCATAAAAGTCAACTTTGCTAGACAGCCACACCAAAGGTACCTTTTCTTTGAAAAAGATGCATCTTCCACAAAAAATTCTAAATGAAAAACTTTTATTCGTTTTTGAAATTTTTCCCACCAAACGCAATTTTTAGTACAACTTGAAACTTTTACACGAGTATGAAAAAGCAAAAAGTCGCAGAAGTTAAAAGTCCCTCCTCGACAAAATTGCCAAGTTTAAACGACTATAATTTTACCGAAAAATGAGGTAGTGTTTTTTTTTTTGTTAATTTCGAGCTCCAATAATGCCCAAAGTATATGAAAAATCATTATTAAAAAATTCAGCAAAAAATCGGTTTTTCAATTAGGAATCTTTTGCCTGAACTTTTGAACCATCTGAAAAATGTTTTACCTGTAATTTTTTTATCTAGTTATGAAGGCTGCATTTAAGCACTATATATTTTTAAGTTTTTTTTTCCATCAGCATTAACTTTATGTTGTCAGAAATAAGCGTTTGTTTTTTTATTGCGATCTGAAATTTTTCCTTTTTTAATCGCTCAAATGCTATTTTACTGCAGTGTTATTTTTTTGATCTTTCATTATCAAATTTTATGAATTAGTTTTTCGTCCAACACCCTTTAGGACAGTATGATTATTTAGGTCCTCGCCCTGACAGAAGAATTTATATTCTGTTTCAAAAAACTTACAAATTGCGAAATTTGTTTCGCCGACAATTTTAAAAAATTTTGTTTTCACCTTTGTATTTGGGCGTGTTTTATTTTTGTTTCTCGTTTTTTTTGTTTTCCTTGCAGAATCAGCTACCACAAATAAGCATCGAAAAAATTTGAGTGATATAGTATACTAAAGTTCTTTCAGTTGTGATAAAGCGATTTTTAAAAACTTCCTAATTATTGAAAAAAATATATTTCAAATTATCGGTTTTTCGTCTTTGTTCGAGCGAATAAAGCAACCGAGCTTTCACAAAAGCTCAAATTAATCTTAGAAGTTTCCAATAGTTTATTTTAAATTGTAAAAAACTGAGATATACTTGAGTAACCCTAGATTTTTTTTAGTAGTTTAGCACCTTATTGGAATCTTTTTTGATTTTTCTTTCGTTTTTCTAGTCATTTTTCTGAAAAATTGCTTTTCAAATAGCTTATTTTACTATGACTGTCGAATATAAGTAACGTTTGGTTTTTCGTTGAGATCTTTTTTCACACCATGCAGAAAAAAACTATACTAATTTTTAAAAAATAGTTGTTGAGTTTTCAAGACGATTATCGGAACATTCTGTGCTACTTGCACAGTAATCGTCTATCCTTGTCCTTCATTTGCTTTTACTAAGAGAGTGAGTTGTTCAAGTGTAACACTTCGATTTCTTTTTTTTCTCTAACCAATCATGCATCATGCACTCATAGTCGAAAGAACTTGCAACTTGCTGCTTTCGTTTTTGCTTTTTAAGCATTGATGCACTCTTGCTAAAAAACATTTTTGCTTTTTTTGATAATTGATCGAAATTTTTTTATATTCCTTTCGTTTTCTTTGCAATTGTTTAAATTATGATTTAATATTTGGACATTTACTTCAGGATTTTTTCAGAAAACAGAAACAAAAAGAAAATATTATTTTGAAAATGCCAATTAGAATAATTTTGAGGGGTTATTTTAAATCAAGAAGTTCAAACTTATGGTTTCAAGCCTATTTTACGAAAAACGAACAATCCTTGTTTCATCATAAAATACTTTCCATACAGGAAGATGAAAAAATTATCAGGGCAAAAGTTTCAGTGTGGCCGAAAATCCAGGTGGAATCCCTCATGCGCGAAGGACCGAATGCGCGAAAATAAAAATCAGACAATCAGATTTCAGTAATCTATATTTTGGAAAGAAAGTAAACATTTCCGAGGACTGAATATTGATATTGGCCGAATATAAAAATGGCAGAAACATGCAAAATTTTCAAATTGTCACTGATCGCTGCCGAATTTGAACAATTTTTATATTTCAAGGGTTTCGTTATGAAAGAAGCAATTTAATTGATTTTAATTGATTTAATTGA